GGGGGGGGGGGGGGGGGGTGTGGCGGCTTGGGGGGCTCTGTGGTGCTGGGCTGTGTGGAGGAGCTGGGTGCCCTGGCTGAGGGGGAGGGGCTGATCGAGTTCCACGTCAGCGAGGCCGTGCTCGAGGTGGGTGATCTGATCTGATCTGATGTGATCTGATCCGCGTCAGATGGTATGATTTGGGATCGACATGCGAGCGCGTCCATCTCATGGGGTCTTGTTGGCGGCAGCAGGAGTCGCCGCACCCACCTCCCAGCGGAAGGAATGTCGCGCCAACCGCCGCCTCCCGCTCTCTCGCGCCCACTCGCAGGAGAGCGCCGCCGGCCTGCCTCCCCCCGGCTCACCCCTGCTCCTGTCCTGGGGCTTCTTCCTGCACGACACAGCCGCCACGGGGCTGGCCCCCTCCCCGCGGCCGTGCTGGGGGGAGAGTGTGGGCTACGTGGTGGGCCTGGACGCTGTGCTGGGGGAGTACCTCGCGACACAGACCATGGCGGTGAGGGGGGAGAGGGGGGAGGGGTTGATGACGTCACCGTGATGTGTGCGTGTGAGGTGGGGGGGTGTGGGGGTTGTGGGGAGAGGTAATATGGTGGCTGGTGTATTTCGCACGCTAGACAGAGGCGCCCTTTCACGATACGGCCACCGCGTCCCCGCCTTCACCCCCCGTGCCCGATACCCACCTGTCAACCCAAACCCACCTGATTTCCCCCCCCCCAAACCATATTGTAAAACTCACTCTGCGAATACAATCTTACCTAAACCTATAAGAACAAACTTCCCCTCAAAAAGAAAAAAAACGGTTGTCCCAGACCCTGCTCCTCCCGACCACACCAACCCTGATCCTCTCCCCACTGCCCCCCACCCCCCTCCCCCCCCGCAGGTTGAGCTGCTGGTGGCCAGGGGCCTGGAGTACGAGGTGCTGGGCATCGCCGCACTGCCCCTCAGACAGGTGGCTGGGAGCAGCGGCAGGCCCGACAACCTTTGGGCTTGCGCGAGGGCGACAGCGAACCCCTGGATCCCGCGCGCGGCAGCCGTGGCGCCTGATAGTTTGAGCACCGTCGCCCTGACGCCGGCTGCATAGCCCTGAGGCCGCCCTGCCTGCGATGCCAACCCCACCTAAACCATCACTCCGAACCTCCCCTCCAACCACCAACCCCAGATCCTTGAGGACCATGATTTGGGGGCCGGCCTCGGGGAGGGCCGCGCATACCATTACGCAGACATCAGGGGCGCGGCAGGCCACCTCATCGGCCGCCTGCGCTACGGCTGGCGCGCCCCGCGGCCGCTCACGAGCGCGGTGCTCGCCCACAAGAACAGCATCCGGCAGCAGAATGCAAGCGTGGCGGGCGGAACGGAGGCGGCGGCCGCAAAGGGCGGCGGCGGCGGCTGCAGCGTCCTGGGAGCGGCGGCGGCGGCGGCAGACGCGGACCCGGCGCGCAGCGCGCGGCTCCGGGTGTCGCTGTCCGCCTGCGAGGGCCTCGTCTTTGGCGGCGGCGGCGGCGGCGCTTCGGCCGCTGACGTCAGCGTGCGGCGGCCGTACGTGCGGTACAGCCCCCCGGGGCGCCCTGGGTGCGCGTACAACTCGGCGTGCGGCGAGGGGCCGGCCCCTGTGTTTGGGGAGGAGGCGGAGTGGGGGCTGGCGCGGGGGCCTGAGGTGGAGGTGGCGCTCGAGGGGGAGACACTCGAGGTGCGTCGGGGGCTGTCCGGTGCAATCAAGCTTGCATGGCACGGGGCTTCTGATTTGTGGAGGGGAAAACTGGGGGTGGTGCCGTGAGTATGGGACTGGCCCGAAAACGTGTGGGAGCGAGAGGATTTGCCGATTGGGTGCCTTGGTTGGGGGGCTGGCAGCGATGGGGCGCTGGCAATGGCGGCTGTGAGTTGCGCTTTAGGCGGTGTTCCTGTGAGGTGCACGTGACAAAGCGCCTGACGGCTGCTTATGTCGCCGAGCCCCGCTTGCTTTGGCACTGGGTTAGTAGCGAAAAGGTGACGAGCAAAATGCGAGGGGGAGAGAGGGCAGTCAGCCGGGCCGGGCTGTCCTTTGCCATCCCACGCAGGTGGCCGTCTTCGATGACTCAGAGCAGGACGCGGCCGCGTCCATCGTCGGCGTGGCGTCCGTGCCGCTCGCGCCGCTCGCACGCGGCGGCAAGGTCGAGGGCGCCTTTGCCCTGCGCCACCCGGCCAGCGGCGCGTTTGCGGGGCGCGTGCGGCTCGGCGTGTGCTGGGCGGAGCCAATGGGACGTCCCCTGGGGAGCGGCGGCGGGGGCGGCTCACAGCGGATGGGGGCAGGAACACAGCAATGTGAGGCGGAGGCGACGGTGTGTCAGACGCTGCCCCCTCCGAATGGTCTGCAGCAGCAGCAGCAGCAGCAGCAGCAGCAGCAGCAGCAGCAGCAGCAGCAGCAGCAGCAGCAACAGCACCATGGAGTGGCAAGCGCACGGGAGCCTCCCCAGGTTGCATTCGGTGAGGGGCTGCACGCCCCGGCGCTGCACGCCGCATCACAGCCACCACCTGTGCAGCTGCATGCCGAGCAGGTGCAGTGGCAGGAGCAGCAGCACCAGCAGCAGCAGCCGAGCACAGGCCCCGCCTTCCTGCAGACGGCCCAGTACCCTGTCAGCCTGACGCCGCCACCAGAGGTGCACGCGTCAGCAGCCGCGGCTGCAAGCGCCCCTATCCCTCTTGCCCTGGCCGGCAGCAGCTTGATACCGGCGCGCCTGCCGCGCACGTCTGGCGGCGCCGCAGCGGCGGCGGCTGTTGCAGCTGTTGGGATGTGGGAGGAGCGAGCGCAGCTGCAGCTGCAGGCATTGCAGGCAGAGCAGCAGCAGCAGCAGCAGCAGCAGCAGCAGCAGCAGCAGCAGCAGCAGCAGCAGCAGCAGCAGCAGCCCCCTGGCCACCCGTTGTTGCAGCTGCAGCCGCCGCAGTCCATCTTTGGGTCAAAAACGCAGCCGCGGCAGGAGCCTCAGCTGGAGAATTTGCCACCACAGCCGCAGCCGCAGCCGCCGGAGCCTTCCAAACAGGGGAATCAACCGGGCTGCCCGACTGCTTCCGCTCCTGAGGGGCTGCATGAGGAGGCGGAGGAGGGACCGCAGGGCTCGGAGCAGCAGCGCGGCTGGCAAGCAGATGAGCGGGAGCAGGCAGACGAGCAGCAGCAGGATGATGAGGACGAGGTCGTCTTGACCCACCCCCTAGAGCTGCCAACGGCGTTCGACGGCTGCGCCGACGAAGGCACCGACGAAGCGGGCGCCACCGACGATCCGGGGGCCGAGGGGGAAGACTGGGTCATGGCGCGCGTCAGCCCGCAGCGGCCGGCGGCCGGCTGGCCCCTGGAGGCGCGCGCGGTTTATTTCCGGGTGGATGGCCTGCGGCTTTCGCCCGAGGCGCTGGGCGACCCCGGGCTGATGCGGACGCTGGCGGTGGCGCACAGCTTCCTGGAGGACTGGACCGACGCGGCGGCCCAGTGCAGCGAGGGCGTCGCCAAGGGGTGAGGGGGGGGGGCAGCGGAGGCGGGCCTGGTTTCGGGAGGCATGTGATGCTTGCACTGCTGCTGCGAATGTGTCTGGCGTGGCGTATCATGCATCGTCCAGCGCCTGAGCAGTCAGCCTATGGGCCTGGCCGGGCCGCCATAGTTGGTTGTGATGCGAGGGACTCTCGAGGGTAGCAGGGGTGGCCGGGTCTCAGCAGCCGGGTGCCGCGTGGCTGCAGGGGCGGCGTCCTGTCCCTCGGCTACGCGGCCGCCTACCAGCTCCTGTCGCCGGACGGGACCCCCACCCCGGCCGGGCGCGCGCTCGCGGGGCAGCTCGCGGCGGCGGAGCGCGGTGAGGGCGAGCGCGTGGTCCTGCCGGTGCTGCTGGCGGCCAGTGAAGAGCAGGCCATCACCGACTTTAGCCAAGGTGCGTGGGGCCCGCAGAAGGTATATTGGGGGGCGTTGGGGGGCTGCGAGACGAGCCTAGGGGCAGGTGCACGCATCACACAGGGCCCTTAGCCGAAGCTGTGATGTGCTGCCCGGGTTAAACTTGGATGACTATTGCGTGGGGGAACAGCCGAGACAGACAGGGAGGGCACCGACTTCCGCAGAGCGTGCGCACGCAGGCCATATCAAATGCTCAGGCCAGCTTTGGTGCAGCGGCGGCGCACTGACCGGGAAACATGGCACCTGTGGGTGCCAGCAGCGGACCGCCGTGAAACGCCACCCCCTCCCGCTCACTGCAGTGGACTGTGTCGCGACCTGCGAGGTGGACCTCAGCACAATCTGGGAGGCGCAGGGGCACGGCAGTGCTGACATCATCGGCGGCGGCGGTGACATCATCGCCACCCCGTTCCAGCTGGTGCCGACGCCCGAGAGGGCGGACGCCTACCCGGGCGGCAGCGCCGGCGAGGTGGTGATGACGCTGGTGGCGGCCAAGGCGCTGCGGGCGCTCAGAAAGGCGTGCGGCGGGGCGGCCGTGGGGGGCTGGTGACGGCTAAGACGCACGTAGGGCGCCAGGCAGCTGTGGCAACACACCATTGATGCGGGCAATTGCGCTTTGGGGTGATAAGCCATTGCCTGTAATGTGCTGACCTCGTCCAGCTCGGGAATGGTGGATGCCTGAGGGATCAGACAAGCGTATGCATGGTACAAAGGCCTGGGCGGGCTGGATCTGGCAAGGGATGTCGCAATGCTGGCTTGCGGCAGCACTGGTGCACAGGTGAATGATTCCTCAAGATGGCAGTGGTTGACTGGTCAAAAGCTGGCACCATTGAGGCTGGCATCTTTCAGGCGTGCAGCGCTGATCAAACAAATAAGCGATCGTGCAAGATCGGGTTCCTTGAAATGCTCAATGTATCCCATTCAAACCAATCGTGACAGTCTGACAGCATGTTCCTGCTGGGCTGCGGAGGTTTGCTGCCACTAGCTGGTGAGAACGTCAGTGGGATAGGTTGCGCCGGCAACCCAGTGGTCGGTGCAGGTGTTCCGGAGGTGCCCATGGCGTTGGTTTGCATGAGTCCTTCCCGCGTAACTACAGGCGCAACAAGCTCCCTTGCTAGTTACGGCGCCTTCACCCGCGCAGTGTGACCGTGCATCAAGCGCACAGCATGAGCCGGTGAAGCACTGGTAAAAACGTATCATGCACCATGGAAATGATTGGGAAGCTGTAGATGACCCGACGGTGGCCCCTCCGGCCGTGATAGAATCGAAGCGGGTTGTAGCGGACTGCATGGCGTCGAGTTCAGTAACTGCTCAAGCTTGTCAAAGCACGCCATGAGCCCGAGCAGTAGACGCGGCAAGCCGACATTGCGTGCTGGTGTGGCAAGCGCAGTGATGCTCGCTGCGTTTGCTGCATCCCTCGTGGTCTGCAGTGCCGCCGTAATCAGCGAACCCCAATCCAGGTGAGCGCAAGCAATCAGGATGCTAGTGACAAGCGACAGGGTTGTACAGCAATGCGCCGCGTCTGTGTGCTCGCATGAGCTGCCCTGGTAATGGGCCCAGCCTGTTCAGTCTGCCGCCGACGCTGCTTTCTGCCTCCATGCGCTCGTCAATCGTGCGACAGGGGTTTCTCGGACAGCCGTGCCGTGGCGTTCGTCAGCAGCCAAGCCTCAGGGCAGGGCCACCATGCTGCTCGCCACCTGAGGGAGGGGCGCGCGTGGAGCAGCAGCGATGCCCAGGCGGCGTCCCAGTCCACGCCACCCACGCGGCGGCGCGTCAGGGGCCCGGACGTCAACACACTGCTGGCGGCGCTTACCAGCCCCCCGCCCGCCGGCGCGCCTGCGCCGTCGAACTTGCCGCCACCCTGGGCCATGCCTGCGCAGCCTGCTGCGCCGGCGCCGAGCGGCACCCCGGCGACGCAGGCTCAGGGGGGCGGCGGCGGTGGCGGCGCATTCGGCCAGTCTACCTGCCTGCTGAGCCAGGTGAGCGGCGCCGACGCTGCTGCCGTACAGTGTTGGCGGTCGCGTTCTCTTTTATACCTGCACACGCGCAGCGCGGTGGGTTGCTGTGCTGTACAAGCATGCACCGCTACAGGTTTTTTTCGTGGTGGGGCGATAGGCAGTTATGTGGCACCCTGTTGGGCGATCGAGCCCCTCGCTCGACCGCTGCCGCGCAGGTCTGGATACCCGCAACGTCGCCGGGCGGCCAAGGCACTTGCTGCAACAAGGAGACTGCCTGTGGCTCCAAGTGCTGCGACAGGACCCAGGAGTGCGACCCCAAAACGCTCACCTGCTGCCCGCTGTACCACATCAGCACCACGCCACCCTATGGCTGCTGCCCCGAGGACCGCTACTGCCCCCAGGGGAACAAGTACCCGGTGCCGTGCTGCCCGCAAGGCAGCGCCTGCCTGAAGAGCAAGGGCACGTGCGTGCCGGCCGGCCCGCTGCAGCTCCAGGCAACACCAAGCAGCTGCGCCAGCCCGGTGAGGGCGCGGCGCTCGACGTTTGGTTTTGATGACGATGTGCGTAAAGGATGCACGAGCGCATGGATGAACATTTGTTAGTTTTTCTTTGGGGGGGGGCAGGAGGGGTCCTCCGCCTGTCACATGCTACCACCTGCACAACGGCACGCCCCCCGTCGCACCGCTCGCACTGCAGTGCGGCGCCGGCTGCTGCAAGCCGGGGCAGTTCTGCCTCGACACTGGGATGTGCTGCACCCAGTGCGGCAACGGGTGCTGCCCTCCTGAGGCGCCGGTCTGCTTCAATAATCAGTGCCACGGGGCCAACGTCGTTGAGTGCCCCGTCGGCAGCGGGATTCCTTGTGAGCACCCGCGCGCAAGGTTCCGGGCCGCCAGGTGGCATCCACCTGCACTGTGGGGAAGTAGGGTCAGGACTACCGTTGTCACGGCTGCTGATTTGCAAAATTTGCCTCTGCACAACCACAGACGATCACCTCCCGCCTGTACTTCACCTCACAAAACACTCCGCAACACCCCGCGCCCTGACGTTACGGGTGCAGGCGCAGCGCCCAACCAATGCGGCAAAGATGGCAGCTGCTGTCTGCCAGGGCAGGCGTGCGGCGGCAGGTGGGCGTCCGGCTGGGGCGCTGAGCCGCGTTTTGGGGCACGTGCGAAAGAGCGTGCAGTTTTCGTCTCAGCGGGAAGCTGCGCACACCCAACTTGACTGTCGGCATTCCCCATATATTGATGCCTCCGCAGCTGTTGCTCCACCGTCTGCATCGGCGGCAAGTGCTTTCCCAAGGGCACCACCACCTGCCCCGGAGCACCCAATGGCGCCTGTGAGCACTAGTGCAGCCGCTGTCAGGATCGTCTTGCCTTGGCTTGAGCAGACGTGGGGCCGGCTAATGCGCACATATGTGGCATTTAGGGAGGCCATGGCTGGCTGTCCTGAAGTGTGCCAGCTGAAGAGAAAGCCGTGGCGCTTGTTGGTCCCTGCCAACACAATCCACAACCCTGTTTGCAGGCCTGCCTGGGTCCACCTGCACCGACGGCATATGTTGCCCGGCAGGCAAGGATCCTTGTGGACTCAAAAATTCGACCCTCAGGTTGGAGCCTCAGTGTTCTGTCAATGAGGGGGCCTGCAGCGACAGTGGTGCCTTGGTCTGTGCCCCTTGGCTCTTGCCGCCCTGCTTGCACTGGTTGATGCAGAGCAGTTGCTTTAGACTTGCGCTTTGCCTGCCTTGGCACGAACTTATTCCTCGCAAGGGTCCAGCCCTGACGCCGTCTGCTGACTCACGTCGTCTTGGCATTCGCATCCTGCGCCAACGCCTGGTGCAGGGGCTGCTGCGACCGCACAAACGAGCAGTGTTTCGCCACCGGCGGCGTGGTGTGCGCACCCAAGGGGTCAGCTCTCTGCCCGGGCGCGCCAAAAGGTTTCTGTGAGTTGCACAAATGATTTTGTGCATTTGGATATTGTTGGTTGGTCTCGCTGCACTCGGCCCTTCTCAGGGATGACACAACTGCTGAACAAATATCGCATATCACAACCGTACACACTCCCACACTCTCACAGCACGCATGCAGGAAGGGATCGCATGCGCGCACGCAGATTCATCTCCCCTCCCCACGCGTGCGCACGCATGCATACTCGTGAATGTGCACAAGACCCAGTCACGCTTATTGATGCCTGTCTCGCCCCACTGGAAGGCCTACATCAATCATCGCAGCACCCGCTCCCCCCCCCCCACTGCGACCAGGCCCTCCTAGCACCAGCTGCAACCTCGGCCGGTGCTGTGGCGCTAGCGAGCAGCCCTGCGGAGCCAAAGAGTGAGTGCTTGCGTTCGCTGAGAGTATCAGAGAGCACGGCCCTCGCATCGAGACACGCACAAGTGGATTTTGTGACCGAACAGGATTTGTGTGTCTGCTGTGGCATCATGGTGGTAGCATAACCGCAATCGCCGTGGCTGTTCAGCGCGCGTCCTTCTGACGACCCGCCACCCTGCTACAATTACGATTGCCTCAGTTGCTGCCTCCCGGGCCAGTGCATCGCCGGCATATGCCTGAAGCCCGGCATGACCGCCTGTCCAGGGGCCCCCAACGGAGTGTGTGAGTCTCCCGAGCCCTGTGCCGCAGCGTTGGGCGGCTTGAAACGGGAAAGTTGAGGCAGGAGGGTTGATATCTGGGTGCTGTTCATGTGCTTGGTGGCAAGCTTGAGTTTCGCTTGAGCTAACAGCTCGCCCACCAACCCATTTTGACGCTCACACACCACATCCATGTCTTCTCACACAATTACGAGCAGGCAACGCGGGCTTCCTCTGTTCTGGCGGCGTGTGCTGCCCGGGGGGCCAGGCGTTGTGCGGCAAGAGCTGCTGCCCGACAGGGCGCTGCCTCAACGGTGAAACCTGCGCGCCCAGCGGGGCCGTCAGCTGCCAAGGCGCACCAAGGGGCTTCTGTGAGTTGCTTTTGGGACGCGCAGCGTCGATGGTGTTGCGGCAGGGTCAAACGTGGTGGTGTGGCTGCCAGCAAGCCATCCGGTGCTGCATGCGATGCGGCACAATCACACCTGTCTGCATAATCGTCAGGCCGCCAAAGTCTGGGTCAGCTACTGAGTAGGATGGCGCCAGCGGCGCCCCACTCTCCGTATTTCCTGCTGAAAACCACCCCCTCGTGCGGGTCACACCCTGCAGGCGACACCAATTTCTTCTGCACCGGGAAGACGCCGCCCTGCTGCAGCAACTCGCTGCCCAACGTCTGCTCCGGCAGGTGCGGCCCGCGCGCACGCCTGGCCTTGAAACAGGAGGGATGGGTGCCGCGCTTGCAAGCAATGCTGTAGCATCCCCTAATTTGCTGCTGCTCTCAAAGCAACGCTGCCAGGATTGGATCCACGTCAATTCTCTCCTACACCTCCTATCTGCACAAACACACAGCTGCTGCTCTGGCGACTGCTGCCCAAACGCGGTGAATGGTTGCTGCAGCAGGGGCCAGGTGCGCGTGTGTATGCGTGTGTAACACCATGTGTTTGTGTGTGTGTGTGTGTGTGTTTGTGTGTGTGTGTCTGTGCGTGTGTACGTGTGTGCGCATGCATGCGTGTGAATTTGCTTTGTGGGCGTGTGGATTGGTGGATTGGTGAACTGTGCTGGTGAGCAGGCGTTGGTGCGTGAATGGAGAGAGGGACGGCTGACCACCACTCTTTGTATGCAATCACTACTCGTGGGGTCGTGTGAGTGAACGTGCATGTTGCTTGCCAGGCCGGCCTCCCTCAATGCATGTTGCGATTGTATCGCGGCGCTCGCGCCCCAGGGCTGCAGGCAGCGACAAGAGCCCTCGCCCCGCCTTCGTGTGCCCCACTCCCCCTTGCCTACTCCCCCAGGTCTGCCTCGGCAACGCCGCCTGCTGCCCCCCCAGCACGACGCGCATCTGCGGGTCCTCCTGCTGCACTGCCCGCCAGAACGGCTGCCTCGGGTGGGCGCCACCGCGCGCCGCAGCAGCGCCCTACCACCAGCGCGGGTTATTGTTGGCACCGCCGACTGATCTCTCATCCCAGCAGCTGCTCGTGTCACGAGGGGAGAGGTCTTGCAATTGGCAAACTGTTATGTGAAGCAGGGGTTGTGGGGCTGGCGGGCGAGTGTGCCTGGGTGGCTGCCAGTGGTTTGACACTCAGTGTGCGGACTCCCTGGTGGTGGTCCACACCTTCCTGCGCCAACCCCATGGGCTCAAACATCACAGCCACTGCTCATCGCCAACCACCCCCAACCTGCTGCCCCTTTGCCCGTGGGTGCGCAGGACCTCCCCGACGTGCTGCAGAGTGGGGGAGACCTTCGGCTGCATCGCTTAGCCCCGCCAGCTGAGCTGTCGTTTTATTGACCGGCGACGGGGGACCAAGCACTGAGTTCTTATCAAGCTGCTTCCGTATGGCGGGCACAGCACCGCTTCAATAACTTTGGGTATTGCGGGAGCCGCAGGGGCCTTGGACTGCTTGCTGCCTGTTTTGTTGTGTTGCATTGTGCCAGGTTTTTTTTTGGGGGGGGCGCCCAAATCATTGCTTTGGTTTGTTGCAAGCAGATGCTAAAAGCTGTGGGGCCCTTCAGGCTGTGCACAGCCTCGCATGAGGGGTCGGTTCGCCCCCTGCGTGCGTGTTGCAGCTGTGCCGAGTTGCGGCAGGATCGCGCAGGGGGCTTTGCCACGAAATGGGGCCTTGCAGCAACAGTGGGGCGCTGTCAGCTCCTACGCGAATACGCACTCTGTGTTGCCATATCTCCTACTCAGTTCTCTGTGCCTGGACAGCGCGTTGGGCGCTGCGGCGTTCTAGATGCCGCACCGTGCCCATACCCGGAGTCGTCGTCGCCTCGCCATCACCCCACTTGCGGGCCAGGCTTGCACTCAGGGCGCTTATGCACAGCTCGCACTGTTTGAGTGACGTGTCGCATGCTTAGCACGTGTTGATATACACTTTTTGTTGTGGGCCTTGCCCTCCCAACCCTTGCATGGCCTATACAAACCAGCACATAATTCTGAGCTCATTGTATCTTGGCACTGTTCAAGGTGGTAAGCCTCGACCTCAACGACTGGCCTTGTCTCACACGCTCGCAGGCCGTCATCCAGCACAGCAAAGCAGCAGGGATTACATGTGCATGCCCCGGGGATGATTGCAGGTTGTCAAAATTTGAGCGTTGCGTGCAAGTCACATGGATCTGAGGCCCGGCTGGCTGAATCGCAGCCAGGTCGCAGATCAAGTCACATCAGATCACAGGTCAGATCACGCGGCCAGCAGCTCCTTGATCTTGGGCTCGATGGCCGCGGGGTCTGCGGCGCTGCGCGCCACCACGTTGCCGTTCTTGTCCACGATGAACTTGGCCCTGGAAGGGCGGTGGGCAGAATGAGGGGCGGGGGCATGTGAGCCGGGGAGCTGCGAGTTGGGAGGCGCGCTGCGGCGCGGGCAGCGTTCCAGACCACATCCTGAACAGCACCCCAAGGGGGTCCCCATCCAGGGCGTTTGCTGCGCGCGCCCGCAGCATAGCGGGAGATTGGCCGCCTGGCAAACATCACTGAAATGCCCCCGCCCTCCACGCTCCCCCCATCAACTCCACCTTCCAATACGATGACGCCCCCTCGACTCGCCCCTCTCCCTCCCTACGCACTTACATGCCCACTGATGCACACAAACACACACACACACACACAAACACACACACACACACACACGCACGCACGCACACACACATACACGCTCGCGCATGCACACACACACACACACACACACACACACACACACACACACACACACACACACTCTCTTTCACCTGAAGTTCCAGTCGACGTCGCCGTCGCAGCCTGCGCAGGCCCCCTTGAGGTACTGCCACACGGGGTGGGTGGACGGCCCGTTCACGTCAACCTTCTCCCTGGGGGGAGGAAAGGGATGGCGGGGCGGGGCCCGGAGATGGTCAGGGGCGGCGCCACGAGTGGTTGAGGGCAGTCTGCAGGGTCCACGGGTGCGGGGAAAAAGCGTGGGCAGAAGTGACGTGGCTTGCAATGGCAGGTGTCGTGCGGGGCGCATAGAGGGTGGGTGGGTGTGGTGGTGGTGGTGGGGTGTGTGTGTGCCGCCGCTCACATCATCTGGAACTTGACGCCGTACTTGGTGTCAACAAACCTGCGGGGTGGAGGGGTTGAGGCCGCGCGAGACAGTCAGGTCGAAGTGTGTGTGTGTGTGTGTGTGTGTGTGTGTGTGTGTGTGTGTGTGTGTGTGTGTGTGCGCGCGCGTGTGTGCGTATGCAATTGTGTGCACGCGTGGGCGTGCATGCAAGCACAAGGCCATGTGTACATCAGGGGCGAACTGGCACAGGCCGGCACACCTGCCCATCACCGATCCCCCCCATCGCCCGATCCCAAGAGTACAGGCTGGGCACGGCCTTCGCTTCTGCTGCCCCGCCTCGGCGCCCCCGAAAGCCTCACTTGCGGATCTGATCGGGGCTGCCGGACTCCTGGCGGCCAAACTGGTTGCAGGGGAACGCCACCACCTCCAGACCCTGTTGCATTTTAATTGGAGCGAAGGTAATTGGGTTTTGGGGTGAGGGGAGAGCGGGGGCCTGCCAACACCCGACAGCGATCACGCGCCAGGGCGGCGCCGCACTCTGGCGACGCCGCCGCACTACACCTTCTCCGGTGCCGCTTGTGGGCGAAGCTGCATGCGTTCAGCCTCTTAATGAGCAGCCCCACAAACACATAAATCCATTTCCCCGCAATCTGTGTGTGCCCGTGTGATGACCAACCCCTCGCGTGTTCCGCTCCCTGTGCCCTGTACTGCCGCCCCTTCCCCCCCCTGGGCCCCCCCCTGTCACCTGGTCCTTGTATTTGTCGTACAGCTGGACCAGCTGGGTGTAGCTGCGGCACCACGGTGCGGGTGACAGGCGGGTGACAGAGGCCGGTGAGACAGTGATTGACGCGGATGTACAGGAGGTGGGTGGCCACGACACCACCTTCCTTTGCTCAGCACATGATGTGATGTGACACCCCACCCAGCCAGGCATGCATGAGGGAACATTCGGGCCACATGTGCTGCCCGAACGCCCGCAGAGGCCACGCACTTGCTGTTTGTGAGGCCGCACGCGCAGGCCACGTTGGTGATGACCACCACCTTGCCCTTGAAGCTGTCAAAGGAGAACGCCTCGCCTGGAATATGTTGCGGTGGGGAGCATGCACAGCAGGGCGCCGAGCCATTGGGCGCTGCACTGACGGGCAGCTGTTTTGTCCATGTCCGCGGCGCCACACAGCGATGCGAGGTGGCGAGGACCCCCTGCCCCACCATTGCCGCACCTTCGAGCGTTTTGGCGCTGAGGCCGTAGAAGCCCGTGGATGCCATCACACGCACCGGACGACGGGTAGGGCGCGCAGACTGCACGAAGGCGGTGCGCTGGGCCTTGATAAGCGAAGACTGCATTGCGAGTTTGATCGGAATGCAGGGTGCACCGTATATCGTGGCCGTGCGAGTGCTGTATGTGAGCGGATACCAAGGAACTTGTGGTGTCGCCGTGCAGCTGACCGCTTCATTGGCAGCTTCACACCGGCAGTGATCACCAGCGATCTAGTATCCCTTGATCACAGCGACATTATATACCCTCGTTACTGGTGCATCTCATCGCGCCTCTTGTATTCACGCACAGCCGTGATCACACTCGGGCGTCGCGCAGCACTGTGCTGCTGACTGCTGCTCTTTCTGGCACCAACATAAGCATAGCGAGTAGTCTGTCCGTGAGAGGTAGCGGTAGCACGGGCGGACAGCCGCACCAGCTGCAGCGGCAGCAGCACCTGCAGCAGGTGGACGCGCGCGCCGCACAGGCGCAAGCCGGCAGCGGGCCGCCATGATCGGCAGGGCGCTGCCCACGGCGCCTGGGCAGAAGGTCGATTTCAACGCGCTCAAGGCGCCCTCCAACTATGTGCCCGGGCTGGGGCGTGGAGCCACGGGCTTCACCACCCGATCAGGTGCGGAGCAGCGCAGCGCTGCGCCACCCTTGCATGCTGCTCCGCTCCCATGCGGCGTTCAGACAACGGCTGCCCGCGGGCTGCATAGCTTCGCCGCCAGCCGCAGCTGCATACAGGCGCGGTGCACGCACGCATGAGGGCACGCACTCGCTGCGCTGCTCGGCGCCCTCATCAGCGAGCATGCAACGGCTCCTGTGCTCGTGCCACCAATGCCGCCCGTGCTCCCCCTTCAACTCCTCCCCCCTTCTTACCCCCAGATATCGGTCCTGCTCGTGGAGGTCCCACACCCGGCGACGGCGGAGGGGTGAGCCCTGTTTGGAGCACTGTTTGGAGCCACACGCCTGCTGCATGCATCGGCTGCGAGCGGCGTCGCCCTCTCCAGTACACCCGCGCCCCCGCGGCCCGCTGCCCTGGTGCCCAGACCCCGCCTCGACCCTCACCTGCCCATGCACACCCTCGCTCTCCCACATTTCCACTAACGCGCCCCCACAACACCTCATGCCACCCCTGAAAACTCCCCGAACCCCCCGCCGCCCCCAGGACAAGGATGGTGGCGACGACGAGCAGAAGTTTGACGCGTTCATGGGGGCGGACGCGGGCGTGTTTGCCGGGGGCGAGTACGACGAGGACGACCGGGAGGCTGACAGGATCTGGGAGGGCATTGATGACCACATGGACGAGAGGAGGAGGGTGGGTGGGGGAGGGTCGTGGTTTTGTCTCGCGAGGGGCTCGCATGGACGGCTGCGAGTGTGTCGGTGTGTGTGTGTGTGTGTGTGTGTGCGCGCGCGTGTGTATGTGTGTGTGTGTGTGCGTGCGAGAGAACGAGAGAGGAAGGGGGCGGGAGGGTGCGTCCGTGCGTGACAGTGTGTGTGGGCGGTGTCGTGTTGGGACAGGCGAGGGATGTGGGTGGACCTGTACCAGCAGCTGTGCTGCGAGGGTCTGCGTATGGTGCATGTGGCGCGGGTGTGTGCACTGATGTGTGAGTGTGTGAGTGTGCGTGAGCGTGTGCACCTGCGACTGTTGTGCTGCGTTGTGTGTGCGGCGGAGAGCGCAGCCCCGAGATGGAAAGTAACAGTGAACCGACGCCCCGGCGCCGCGAGCGGCGCGTCCCCTGGCGCGGCCCTCCCCCGCTGCCCCCGCCCCCCGGGGCGGACGCCGGCGGCGGGGGCCATGACAGCGCGCAGGGGGCCGCGCGCTGCCCGGCGCCGCGGGACGAGCGGGCGGCGGGGCCTGCTGTCATGGCGGGCCCCCCTGCCACACGTGTGGACTTGAAAGCGGATCTGAGGGCGTCGCGCGGCTCTGTGGATTGCATCGTTGTTGTGACGCCTTGTCTGTTCACGCACCCCTGGTCGTTTGTCGCGGTGTTCACCCGTCTCTGCTGCCTCTATTTTGTTAGCTCAAGGGCTAGCGGCTCTCCATATTCACTTTTCCTGCAAGAACTCTCCCTGGATCCGCTCTGACCATTGTCAATCCCCTCCCCCCCCCAACCCCCCCCCCCCAAAACACTGCAGGAGAAGCGTGAGGCACTGATGAAGGAGCGCATTGAGAAGTACCGCGCGGAGAACCCCAAAATCACGGAGCAGTTTGCGGATTTGAAACGACAGCTGGCGGAGGTGCGCCCGGCGCGATGGCGGGAGTGAAGGGCAGGGGGCCTGCTGGCGGACGCTGGCCAGGCCTGGGTATCAGCGTGGTGCCGCGCGGCGCGGCGCCGCCCAAGCTTTGCTTCTACACTGGCCGGCAGCTGTGCGGCGCCTGCATGCGAGCGCTCCCCGCACCTCAGCGGAATTTCTCACCCCGGGCTTCATCACCATCCCTCACATTGCCCCCACTGGGGCAGCGCTCAGATCATTGACACGTGCGCGCTGTTGCACCCCCTGCCCCAGGTCAAGGCGGAGGAGTGGGAGGCCATCCCTGATATCGGGGACTACACCATAAAGCGCCAGAAGCGCGAGACCTTCGCCCCCGCACCAGACAGCCTGCTGGCGGCGGCCGCCGGCGCGGCGGGGGCGGCGGGCGGCAGCGCCGTGCCTATCGACGCCAACGGGCTGGCCACGCCCATGGGCACGGCCAGCACGGTGTCAAACCTCACAGACATTGGTGAGGGGTTTTGGGGGGG